CCAGGGACTTGTGCATGCTAGTCAAGCACACTACTACTGAGTTACATTCCCAGTCCTGTATGTCTTCTTAAGAAATGTCTATTCAGCCAGGCACAGTGCCTGTAATCCCAGCGGCTTGGGAGGCTCAGCAAGAGGATCACAAGTTCAAAGCCAGCCTCAGCAATTTAACAAGGCCCTAAGCAACTCAGTGAGATCCTATCTCTAAATAAAATATAAAAAGGGGCTGGGGATATTATTCAGTGGTTAAACATCTTTGGTTTCAGTCTGTGATACCAAAAACAATAACAAAAACAACAAAAATCAAAATATCTATTCAGATTCCATTTAGTCAAGAGGCTGAGGCAGAATTATTACAAATTTGAGGCCAGTGTGGGCAACTTAGTGAGACTAAGTTGAATTAAAAATTAAAGGGCTGGGGATGTGGCTCGCCTGGCATGCGTGCAGCCCGGGTTCGATCCTCAGCACCACATACAAACAAAGATGTGTGTCTGCCGAAAACTAAAAAAAAAAAAAAAAAAAAATTAAAAATAAACTAGGGATGTAGCTCAGTGGCAGAGTGCCACTGGGCTCAATCCCTAGTAAACCCCCCCTCCCCAAAAAAGAATTGTCTATTCAGGTGTGTTGCTCATTTTAATTGATTTTTTGCTATGCTATTGAATTGTGTGCAGAAGTTTCTAGTTTGGTGTAATCCTGCTTTTGTTGTTGTTGTTGCCGCCTGTACATTTGGTGTCAGATCCAAAAAAAAAAAAAAAATCACTAAGTCACTGGACCATACTAATGTCAAGAAGCTTTTTCCCCAAATTTTATTCTAGTAGTTTTACATTTTCAATCTTATATTTAAGCCTTTAATTCATGTTGAGTTAATTTATGTATAAATGGTGTTAGATAAAGGTCCAATTTCATTTTTTTTGCCTGTGGATATCCACTTTTCCCAGCACCATTGTTGAAAAAAGAATCCTTTTTTCATTGTGTGGTCTTGTCAACCTTGTTGAAGATCAGGACTATAAATACCTGGGTTTATTTGTGAACTTCCTATTCTTGCACTGATTTTATTTTTTGGCATGTTGACCCATTCTCATATTCCTGGGAGAAATTCCAGTTGGCCATGTTGCAGTTTTTTTCTTTTCTTTTCTTTTCTTTTCTTTTTTTTTTTCAATTGAACCCAGGACCTTGCACATGCTAGGCAAGTGCACTACCACTGAGTTATATTCCCAGCCCCGTTGCACAATTTTTTCTACATGCTCCTGGATTCACTTTGCCAGTATTTTTTGAGGACTTTTATTTGTATGTATATTCTTTGCTTTGTTTTTTTTTTTTCTTGTTTGGTGGTGCTGGGGTTTGAACACAGGGCCTTGCAGGTGCTAGGCAAGCACTCTACCACTGAGCTACGCCCCAGCCTGTATGAATATTCTTAAGTGATATATCTCTAGTTTTTTATTGTCATATGTTTGTGTGGGTTTGATATTGGTATAAAATTAACCTCACAGAATGAATTGGGAAGTGTTCCCTCATCTTCTCTTTTCTCCAAAAAAATGTGAAGCATTATAGAATTATTTTTTGAACTTTGAGTAAAATTCACCTTATGCCTCTGGTTCTGGCCTTTTCTCTGAGAAAAGTGTTCTCATGGATGGGATGACAAAATTAGTAAACAGAAAAATCAAGTAATAATGATTATGGAAAGCTATATTAATGAAATAGAGGACTGATATCACATGAGGTCTTCATAGAAAAGATGGTCAGGAAAGGCCTCTCTAACTAGGTTATGTATGAGGTGAGGGCAAAAAAGGTACGAATGGGACAGCCTTGGCATTATTGTAAGAAGAGCATTCCAAGCAGTGAGAAGAGCATATGTATGTGAAAGTCAGAGGTTGGAAAGTACATGTTTGTTCAAAGAACAGAAGAAATTCTGGTGTGGCCAGTGTGTAGGGAGGGAGGGAAACAGTGTATGAGATTAGGCAGGGGCCCAGTTGTGTACTCAGCTCCTGGTAGACCATGGTAAGGAGTTTGGATTTTATTCTAGGTGTCTGTGGAAGCCATTCTTGCCTCTATTTAGAGAATAATTTAGAGTGAGATAGTAGAGGAAACAGATCCTAAAATAAGTGGTTAGATTTTATGTTTATGTTTTTGTTAGATTTGAATTCAAAGTGAGGAAGACCTAAGTATGACATACTCATGTGAAAAAAGAAAAAGATTGCTTTGACCACAGAAAAATCTAAAATTTCCATATGAGGAAAACAAAATCAAAGACAAATAACAAACTTGAGAAGAAATATTTGCAAGGAGCTAAGCATGGTGGCACATACCTGTAATCCCAGCAGTTTAGGAAGCTGAGGCAGGAGGATCCTCAAGTTCAAAGTCAGCTTCAGCAATTTAGAGGGCCCTAAGCAATTTAGCAATATCCTGTCTCAAAAAAGGGTTGGGGATGTGACTCAGTAGCTAAGTGCTCCTAGGTCAATCCCTGGTACCCATAAAAAGAGAAAAACAAAAGAAGGAAGAAATATTTGTAAGACCCTTTAAATACCAAGTTTAAATACCAAGTTTCCTTAATATAAAATGAAGAGATAACTCATTAGACAAAAGATATGCACTGACAGTTCACAAAAAATACAAATGGCTGTTAAATTTATGAAAACATGTATAACTTCTGTCTTAAAAAATAAATGCAAATTTGAAGATCCCATTTTTCACCCATGAGATTGACAGGGATGCAGTTTAATACATAATGTTGATGAGACTGTAGGGAAACAGATCTCAATACATTAATATTAGGACTATAAATTGGTTCAAGTTCTATAGAGTAATTTGGCAGTATTTAAAAATGTATACCCTTCTAGGAATTTATGCAACAGAGAAAAGACATTTGGGTTTACCACATAAAGAAATACAATGTAGCCCTTGTAAAGAATAAAGCAAGCTGGAGGCAGTAGTACAGGCCTGTAATCCCAGTGGCTCAGGAGGCTGAGTCAGGAGGATCACAAGTTCAAAGACAGCCCCAGCAACTTAAGCCCTAAGCAACTCAGTGAGACCCTGTCTCTAAATAAAAATTTAAAAGAGGGCTGGGGATGTGGCACATTGGTTGAGTGCCCTTGGGTTGAATCCCCAGTATCAAAAAAATTTTAAAAAGAATGAAGCAGCTCTTTATCTATTTATATGGAAGAATCATATATATGTGTATATGTTTATATATATATATACACATACATACACACACACACACATGCATATATATGTGTGTGTGTATATATGTGTGTGTGTGTGTTAAATTTATGAAAACATGTATAACTTCTGTCTTAAAAAATAAATGCAAATTTGAAGATCTCATTTTTCACCCATTTAAGAAACATTTTGAATGATTTTTTTTAAAAGGTGAAGAATAGTGTAAAATATGGTACATTCGTATAAAAAAGGAAAAAAAGGTGTTTCCTTATGTACCAGGGATGGGGATATAGTTCAGTGGTAAAGTGCCTACCCAGCATGTGCAGGGTTCAATCCCCAGCACAGAAAAAAAGCCTAGAGTGCTTGCCTACTGTGTACCTGTCAGTCTTCTTTGCTTGTACATGCGTTGACTATCTCTGGGATGAACACAAAAAAATCAGAAGGATTTTGCCTATGGAGAAGGGAACTTGGTGTGTAGGGGACAGGTAGGATGGATATTTATTTTTCATTTTATTCTTGTATGTATATCTTATGCCTATGTTGACTATTAAAATTTTGAAACAAGCAAGAGGGGTTGAGTGAGGAGATCAGTCAGGAAGTTGTTACAGTAGTAGAGGGAATTGATAATGGTGGCAGGAAGGTGTAAAAAAGTAGACATGTTCAAGAAATTTTTTTTGAGATTAAATCCATCAGATTTGTTCATGAAGTAAGTGTGAGAAATGAGGGAAGGAGAAGAATCAAGGATGAGTTCCAAGTTTCTGTTAAGCAACTGGGTGGGTAGAATTGAGTCTTTTAATCAATGTGTTGGTTTTCTAAGGCAGTATCATGTGGACTCTTGAGTTTGACTGCCTGGGCTTGAATTCAACCTCCTCTACTTCCTAGCACTACAATTTTGTGCAAATCTTATAATTCATGCTTAAGTTCCCTCATCTGTAAAATGGGAATAATAATATATCCTACCTCACAGTGTTATTGTAAGGATTACATGAGTTAATAAATGTATATTTATTAACTCATGTAATCCTTAAAATAATTTTAATATTTTAGAATGGCTCATAGCATATGGTAAAAGCTATACCATTTTCCTTCTGTATCCACGTGGAATTTGTTCCAGGACCTCCTGTAGATACCAAAATCTGCAGATACTCAAATCCCTAATATCAAATTGCATAGCATTTGCATATAACTTATTCTCTCACATACTTTAACATCTTTATGTTACTTATAATACCTGTACAACCTGAATGCTATGTAAATAATTGTTATACTGTATTGTTTAGGGCATAATAACAAAAAATGTACATGTTCAGTACTGACACAATTTTTTTTCTGAATATTTTTGATCCACAGTTGGTGGAATCCACACATGAGGAACCCTTGCATGTGGAGGGCTAACTATTTAAGTGGTTGCTGCTATCATTGTTAGTATGACTATAATCATTACTATGACAGTTATATGGCACCTCTTCCTCTTCTGTCTGGGTAACCATTTTAGGGGCTCAATAAATGCTTGTGGAAGGAAGGACGGAAGGAAGGAATGTTGGAACTTTAAAATTAACACATTTAACCAATTGATCTATGAAATGAAAAAAAAATTAAAATATCTATTTTTTTGGTTTTTTAGGTGTACACAGTATCTTTATTTTACATTTACGGGGTGCTGAAGATCGAACCCAGTGCCTCGTGCATGCTAGGCGAGTGCTCTACCACTGAGCCACAACCCCAGTCCTGAAATGAAAACTTTTGAAAGGCCTTTTTAGTATGTGAAGAAATTAGATGGTATGGTTAATAGGTTATGGGATTTACTCCTGCCTTCTTACTTTTTACTTCCATTTTCTGTACAGGCCTGAAGGCATTGAACGACAATACAGGAAGAAGTGTGCAAAGTAAGTGTTAACCATGTGGGTTTCTCCAGAAATAGGCAAGTAGAGGCATAATAGATTACGAAAATAACTATTTGGATACAATACTCTGTTGTGTCTCTGTTTTTATAATCTCAACTGCCTTCAAACCAAATACTAATATATTTCCTAAAGAGACTAGTCAGAGTTACATCCCTGACTAGCTGGCCACAAAAATGAGTTTTTAACATAGTGCAATTTTATAAAAGTTGAGATGTAATCCATATGTAATGAAACGTGCCCATTTTAAGTGTTCAGTTTGATGGGCTTTGACAAAAGAATATAGTCATGTAATACCACCATCATCATGATATCAAACATTTCCAGCATTTCATATGCCTTTGCAGTCCAACCCCCACCCTCCCATTAGGCACTGCTTTCTGTTAACAGTGGTTTTGCTTTTCCTAAAATTTAAATTCTACAATATGTGTTATATATGTATAGTATTTATCTTTTGCACCTCTTATTTTAGTCCTTCAAGTTATTATGTCATGGGGCTGGGATTGTGGCTCAGCCGTAGAGCCCTCACCTTGTTGAGAGCCACAGCCGAAGGGGCCCCAGCAAACTTCCAGCTGCCAGCTGATGATTGGCTCACAGCGGCCCCAGCAAACTTCTAGCTGCCAACTGATTGGCTCCTGGAAGTTTGCTGGGGCCCCTTCGGCTGTGGCTCTCAACACACCTAGCACGTGTGAGACCCTGGGTTCAATCTTCAGCACCACATAAAACTAAATAAATAAAATAAAGGTATTGTGTCCAACTACAACTAAAAAATAAATATTTTAAAAAGTTATTATGTCATTAATCATTTATTCCTGTTTATTAATAAGCAGAATTCAATGTATCCAAGTTTGTTTGCCCATTCACCCATTTGAGATGAACGGTGTTTTAGTTGTTTCCAGTTTGGGCTATTATAAGTAAAGTTGCTGTGAATATTCTAGTATAAATTATAGTGTGAACATGTATTTTCTCTTGGAGTGGAATTGACTGGGCCATATGGTAAACGAAACTAGTGTAACTTAATCCAGACCTATTTGTAAAGTCTATTATAGGATCATAGACTCAAGAATCTTAAAGAATATTATGTGTATTTCCAGTTTTAGGCTATTAATAGTGACTATTAAACTAAAAAATTCAATCTTGATGAAACTACGGTTATAGTTTGTCTCTCAGAAGACTCAAACTAGGAGATTAAAGCTGAGGAAAATGGATAAGAATGCATTTTCACTCCCAGCCATATTGGATTGATGAAATTGGTTTTATCATTTCTTGTAGGTCTACTTTGTTTAGCTCAATAAGTGTAATAATGGTCAGCCAAAGAAAGTGGTGATTACTACCAGGACTGGTTGCCAACCACTACAGTGGAACCTTTACACTCCTCCCAACACTACAAAAACAAAACAGAACAGAAAAAAATCTAGACAAAATGCTCAAACCAGTTACCCAGGTGACTGGGAAGAATAGTGGCAGTTTTGACTGCAAAGCAATCAATAACATGAGCTAGGGTTTATCAGACTTGTTGAATATTATACATCACTTGAAATGCTCAATAAACTTGCAGATTCACAGTCCTCACTCCCTACATTTGCTGGATCAGGATCTTTTGGGAGTGACCTAGGAATCTTAACAGCAATTTATTTTGAATATTTATTTTTTAATTATAGGTAGACACAATAACTTTATTTTATTTTATGTGGTGCTGAGGATCGAACCCAGTGCCTCACGCATGCCAGGCGAGCACTCTGCCTCTGAGCTACAGCCCCAGCCCAGCAATTTTCTTAATATTTATTTTTTTAGTTGTAGTTGGACACAATACCTTTATTTAATTTATTTATTTGTATATGGTGCTGAGGATCAAACCCAGGGCCTTGTATGTGCGAGGCGAGCACTCTACCGCTGAGCCACAACCCCAGCCCCTTAACAGCAATTTTAACAAGCACCATTTGGGAATCAGTCATTGAGAAAAGCTAATCCTTATTTTATGACACAAAAATATTCCCAGGGTCTACATATGTTTTGCAAATCTCTGAGGGAATTTGGAATCAGAGTTCTTCTAGAGGTTCATTCTGCCTTTTGCAGGTGTGGACTACCACTGTTCTACCAGTCCCAGCCGAAGAATGCCCCTGTGACCTTCATTGTGGATGGAGCAGTAGTGAAATTTGGTCAGGGTTTTGGGAAAACAAATATATATACTCAGAAACAAGAGCCTCCAAAGAAGGTAATTATCATTGAAGGAGACAGACTGCTTAATACAGCTACAGATTTCCTCCCAAATGTCTTTTATTGTGGTGCTAGGGATTGAACTCAGGGATTAATACATGCTAGGCAAATGCTATACTACTGAGTTACACCCCCAGCCCCCATACTTTAAAATAAGGGTTTAGTACACAAGAAAGTGCCCTTTATGGATGTCTTCATTTTTTAAATTTTTAGTTGTAGATGGACACAATACTTTTGTTCATTTATTTTTATGTGGTGCTGGGGATTGAACCCAGTGCTAGGCAAGCACTGTACCACTAAGCTACAACTCCAGCCCCTAGATGTATTCATTTTTAAGAGAATGTCATTTTGTGTTTAAGCAGATATTACAGAATTGTAACACCTATTCTTTTTTTCCTACAGTTGCCCCATGAGTAATCTTAGAAAATGTGTAGTTTTTATTCTCATTTATTTCCTTAAAAATTATTTTTCCAGTGTGAATAATTAAACAGTAAATTAATTAGGCTAAATTTTAGAAAACATTTTAAAAACCCTTGGTGCCAAATGTTATAAAAATATAAATGTAAATAAAAACATTGACACCTTTAGATAGGCAGCCTGTCCCAAAGAGGCAGTGCCCCCCACCCTGTACACAGGTGTGTGTACACTCACACTCGCATGTGACTTATGGATCCTCTTGGGGTGAACTAGACTAACTCCTCTTCCTGCTGTTTCAGGTGATGATGACCAAACGGACTAAAGACATGGGCAAGTTCAGCTCTGTCACTGTGTCTACCATTGATGAAGAGGAAGAGGAGATTGAGGCTGTAAGTGCTTCACCTCTCAAGGGAATTTGAATTTGGGGTGGGTTAAGAAAGGGAACTCCAGAGCTAGAGCATGATGTACCAGAGAACAATTAGAGACATTGCTTTCAGACCCTGCTCTGCTAGTAAGAAACTATGTGACACTGGGTTAAAGCCTGTTTCCCAGGACCTCAGGGATAGCTGTAAGATGTGCACAAGAGAGTTTGAACTCTTTCATTCCTCTTAAATTTGAAGACTACTGGACTAAATTATTTTAGAGCCTTTCCAGTCCAGCTCTGATGGTTTGGCAGTCTGTTCTCAGCAGCTGCAGCAGTAGCAGCCACAATTACCTTTCTGTTACTTCAGTAGAATGAAGTTTATGGAGAGATGTGAGCTGTTATTTTTAAAATGATTTTGGTTGAAGCCTGAATTTCTCTGGATTATTGAAAAGGAAACAGAGGCCTGTCATTTTAGTAATGATTTCATGACTTGAACACTGTAAATTGTTGCTATGGTCTTTATTATAATTCCTCAGTGAGAGAGCTAGTTTAAGGATGCTTCTTTTTTCCTTCAGAGGGAAGTTGCTGACTCATATGCACAGAATGCCAAAGTGATTGAAAAACAGCTGGAGCGCAAAGGCATGAGCAAGAGGCGACTGCAAGAGCTGGTGAGTGCCATGGGATAGGAAGGCTCTGGCTTCTTTGTTTGGATTTCATCTCTGAACAACTGTCCAGCAGGCAGGGAAATACTTTAGGAAATCTCTTGGGGGTGACCAGTATAGTTGGCTGCTGACTTGCTAACCCTAGCTTGTGGTTGTTGGTATAACCTTCTCTGTAGTAGAGGCTGCAGGGTCCAGGCCCTAAATTATAATACCTGTTATCTAACTAGGATGATATTTTAATCTGCTATTTATGGTCCAAGGTAAGGCATTTAAAGGTGAGAGTTTCTGGATACTCTCCCAGGATGTAATGATGCATGATAGTGTTATTGGCAGTACCTGCATTGGGGTGGTTATTACTTCTTTTTTTTTTAAAGAGAGAGAATTTTAATATTTATTTTTTAGTTTTTCGGCGGACACAACATCTTTGTTTGTATGTGGTGCTGAGGATCAAACCCTGGGCTGCACACATGCCAGGCCAGCGCGCTACTGCTTGAGCCACATCCCCAGCCCCGGTTATTACTTCTTAAAGCACTGGTAGTTTCCTGTGTTATTCCAGGGTTTGAGCATGCATATCTATATTTGATGGTGCCTACATTTCTCTTTTTTTATAATTGCTTTTAATATTTTATTAAACTCTGACAGTGCTTCATTGATGCCTTATCAAAAGACATATACCATTTTCTTCTAATGACTGCTATATATATATATATATATATATATATATATATATATATATATATATATTAGACATTGATGGGCCTTTATTTATATGTGGTGCTGAAAATCGAACATGCTAGGCAAGCGCTCTATCACTGAGCCACAACACCAGCTCCTGACTGGTATATTTTTGGTTGCTGTTTTACCTTGCAATAGTGGTCTAGAGTAGTCTCAAACTTTATAAGATGAAAAAAACAATGTTTTCTTTTTAATTGCCAATTTTGTAATTTATAAAATATAAATATTGAATTGACCTCAATTTGTATTATTAAATTATTTCATTTTATTATTACTCTATCAAATTGCTATAAAAGTTTCTTAATGTTTACTCTTGATTTTTGCATGTATGTTGCATGACTGATTAACAAATAGTTCATGGACTCCAAAATTTAGTAGCACTGTTTTGGAATGGTGTTCTTCCCTATTCTGCCAAGAATAGGATAAGGATAGAATATGCCATGACATTGATTCCCTCAGCCCTTGGGAGGTGCTGGGTTCCTGGAATCCCTGCATTCATTGTCTTAAGCCACAGCCTTGTATCTCTGCCTGTATTTTGCCTACAAGTACCATTTTTTGATTGTGCTGTAACATCAGAAGGGTTGGAAAGAAGTTGTACAGACACATAAAGATTTTAGAATCACTTCTGGTTTGTACACTATATGTGTACTAAGGTAGAGGGTTTCATTTTTTTCCTATCTTTGTATTTTTTTTTCTTTCCATCTTTTTTATTGGTGTATTATAGTTGCACATAATGATGGGATTTGTTGTTACATATTCATACATGCACACAAAATGACAGTATAGTTTGGCCAATATCACTAAGGGAGAGTGTTTCCAAGTGTTTTCTTCAAATAAGGAAGGAAAAATAAGACTTTTGAATGATATATCAAGGCATACATTTTTTTTTCCTTTCCAGGCTGAACTGGAAGCCAAGAAAGCTAAAATGAAGGGGACCTTGATTGACAACCAGTTCAAATGACCAAGACTTTTCTCTGAGCCCAGACTGGAGGCAAGCATTTAGATCAAGAAGAAAAATAACTTCTTGATTACATGGACTGGTTTCTGTTTATTCCCTAGGAGGAGTCTTTATTTTGCTTCCGATTGATTCTCTTGCATTCAGTGAGGTCTTTGAGTCCATTTGACCTGATTTCTAGGAGATGAATTTTTCTAAGTCTTTACGTAGGTTTTATGAACTATTTTTTGTCCATTTGATATAAAATTCTTCAGCTACATAAAAACTTTATGAATAGATTAGTGCTGAGTGTGTCTAGTTTCTAAAATGACTTTTTATTCCTTTTTCAGTTAATAGAATATTGAAAGATTTTTGGAAAAATATTATGGTGTGTCATAGAGAAAAGTAGCATGAATTATATGTAAAATTACAGCAAGTCATATCCTTTTTAAGTGACTCTGTCTCTGGTCTTATAATGGCTCTTAGAATTGGCAATCTTTGTCCTGTCAGCAGAGTTCCATTGAAAGTCAAAATCTGCATAAAGTTCTCTTTACTTCAAATATTAAGAGTTATAGGTGAGCCATACCATATCAGACTTTATACTTAAAGAAGGAGAAGCTACAGGGCTGGGTATATTGCTCAGTCATAGAGTGCATGTGAGGCATGTGTGAGGTCTGGGTTCCATCCCCAGCACCACATACGTGTGTACATGCACACACACCCCAAAGTGAAAAGCCAGATTGTGTAGTGAGAGAGTTGGTTAGCTCAGATTTGAATTATAAAAGGATCTTATTAAGTAACCCAAGGGAGCTGCTATCTAGTGAAACAGCTGGGTGTACTGCTTCTCTGTGTGGGTACATGAAATAAATAAAATTTTCTGCTAGGTATTGTTTATTTTACATTTGTTATTTGCAGAGGAATGTTGTGTATATAAATATTTTATGTCATGCTGCTTCAGTGATATCAATATCTGTATATTTGTATTAATATTTTTATCTATTCCCTGTATTACACAGTGTAGGGTCAGAAAGCATGTTAACCTCCTCATATTATCTATAATGGATCACAGTTATTAGCAAGCATCCAAGATTTGTTTGTGAGGTGCTGCTGGGAAATGGTAGAACAGTTTTCTTTGTGTCTTTTCTGATTTTTTTTGTTTTTCTTTCTTTTGGGGGAGGGTACTGAGGATTGAACTCGGGGGCATTCAACCACTGAGCCATATCCCTATCCCTATATTGTATTTTATTAGAGACAGGGTCTCACTGAGTTGCTTAGTGCCTTGCTAAATTGCTGAGGCTGGCTTTGAACTCATGATCCTCCTGCCTCAGCCTCCTGAGCTGCTGGGATTACAGGAGTGTGCCACCGTGCCCGGCCTCTGATTTCTTTATTGCACAGAAAAGTAGGTTGGAATCAGAGTAGATATAATCTAGCAACAGATATACAAAAGAGGGATGGAGTCCTGAGAAGGCCCAAAATAGGGCTGTGTTACCATCTTCCAGGTTATTCTACATTCCATGAGGCTTTTTGCAACTGAGTCTTTCTCTTCACCTCATTTCCTGTCCTTATTCTGAGAAAGAAGTAACAATCACGTGGATGACCTCCTCACAATTTCTAACCTCAACTCCAGACAATGACCTCTACCTTTACTTCACTTTAGTCATAAGCTCCCATGATTACAGCCTGGATATCATCTACACAACCTCTGAAATCCAATATTTTGTTCTCTGATCACAATCATTCACTTCTTCTGAAGCTGTTTTGTTTTTAGATTTGAAGGGTGATTGTTAGTAGTAAATAATGAAAAATAGTAGTAGTAGTAATAGCAAAAATACTCACCACTCTTTATTGAGTATTTACTATGTGTCAGGTGCCAGGGAAAGTACTTTACAGGTATTACCTAAACAACACGATAATTCTTAAAGTTTAGATGTTACTATTCCCATTCTAAAAATGAGTATTCTGACATTCAGAGAGTTTAAGTTTCCTAAGATCCCCTAGTCAGTATGTGGTAAAGACAAAAGTTTGATTTTAAAACTAGAACAGGAAAACTGCTTCTCCTGTGGAATTTTTAAAATATATATTATTAAGATCAGAATGCAGTTTCATTTTGAGAAACCAAATAAAGTGCATTATAAAAATTCTTGCATAGAGAACTCCTTATAATAAATCTGTAGTTACATTTCTACATATTTTCTGAAATATTTGTCTTTAGATACTAGTTCTAAACCATTTCAACATCTGGTTCAAGTTATGCATTTTGTTTCTTCTATATGATTGTGAAATGTTATGTCATTAACACCAAGCCACATATGCTCTTCATTATGTTTTATTCTTTTATATTGAAATAATTGTTAAAAAATAACATAGTTCCTCTAATCTGTTAACTCATATTATAGCACATACAGTGTTTTAATGTTAGTACAAAGAGATAAAGAGCCATATTGAAATTTTGGAGGGTCTTGTTCCTTTTTTTTTTCTTTTTGCAAAATATCCATTGTGAGAAAAATATTAAAATGTGTGTGAAATATTCCCATTGTAGTAATTGGTGACATTTTTGTAACATAACTTTATTGTTTAAGAGAAATTGAAAAGCTTTTTAAAACCTGGGTTGCCTTGCTAAGGACAATGGCACAAGCCTATAGTCCCCATACTCATGAAGATTGCTTGAGTCTTGGAGTTAAAGGCCAGCTTTGGCAATATGCTGAGACCCCGTTTCAAAAAAATAAAATGAAATAAAAGGCTAGATTGTCTCAACCATTTTAAGGTCTTTAGAACAGTTTCTCTGCTCTTAATTTTTTTTTTTTTTTTTTTTTTTTTTTTGGTACTGGGGATTGAACCCAGAGGTGCTTTACCACTGAGCTACATCCCCAGCCCTTTTTTATTTTTTATTTTTAGACAGGGTCTTGCTAAGTTGCTGAGGCTAGCCTCTAACTTGCAATCCTCCTGCCTCAGCTTCCTGAGTCACTGGGATTATAGGCCTGCACCACCCGTCCCAGCTGTATCTAATGATTTTAATTTGAATTTCCCTAATGACAAATGATGATGAACATACTGTTTTTTTTATTATGGTAAAAAAACACATAACACAAGCTTAACACCTTACCATTTTAATTATACAGTTTAGTAGTGTTGAGTACATTCACATTTTGTGATTTGGATCTTTTGAACTTTTCCATCTGGTAAATCTGAAACTCTACCCATTAAACAATTCCTACTTTTTCTTTTCCCCCAGTCCCTAGTAACTACCATTATATTTTCTGTTTCTGTGAATTTGACTACTTTAGATAACTCTTATAATTGAAATAATACAGTATTTGTCTTTTTATTTCTGCCTTATTTCACTTAGCATAATGTCTTCAGTGTTCATCCATATTATATCTTGCGGCAAGATCTCCTTCCTTTTTTTTCTCCCTATTTTATTTATTTAGGCTTAAATGTTTTGTAGTACATATAGTTATACATAATAGTGGAGTTCATTTTGACTAATTATACAGGCATGGAATATAATTTGCTCCATTTCAGTCCTCAGTTCTTCCTCTTTCCCTTCTTTCCTTCCTCTCCTTGTTTCCCTTTTGTTTGTTTGTTTGTTTTGGGTACTGGGGATTGAACCCAGGAGCCCTTTACCACTGAGCTACAGCCCCAGCCCTTTTTTTTTTATTTTGAGACAAGCTCTTATTAAGTTTCTTAGGGTCTAAGTTGCTGAGAACTTAATGATCCTCTTGTCTCAGCCTTCCATGTCACTAGTATTACAGGTATGTGTCACTACTTGTGTTTTGTTTTGATTTGTTTTTGAATTGGTGCTATACACACACACACACACACACACAGAGAGAGAGAGAGAGAGAGAGAGAGAGAGAGAGAGAGAGAGAGAGAGAGAGACATACACACACAAAGATGGGATACACTGTGATATATTCATATATGTACATAGTATAATTTTGTCAGTTTCATTCCACATTTTTTTCCTGTTGCTGTCCCCCCTCATTCTCTACTCCACTTCATTCTCTACTCCACTGATCTCCCCTCTATTTTCATGGGATTTGCCCCTATCTTTTTTCCCCTTTGTTCTAGCTTCCACATATGAAAGAAAACTTTTGACCCTTGACTTTCTGGGTGTGGCTTATTTCACTTAGCATCATATTCTCTAGTTCCATCCATTTACTGGCAAATGTTATTATTTCATTCTTTTTTGGGGTACTGGGTATGGAACTCGGGAACACTCAACCACTGAGCCAAATCTCCAGCCCTATTTTGTATTTTATTTAGAGACAGGGTCTCACTGAGTTGCTTAGGGCCTCACTAAGTTGCTGAGGCTGGCTTTGAACTTGAGATCCTCCTACCTCAGCCTCTTGAGCTGCTGGTATTACAGGTGTGTGCCACTGCACCTGGCTATTATTTCATTCTTTGTGGCCGAAGAAAACTCCATTGTATATATCTCCCACATTTTTTAAATTAATTTATCTATTGACAGGCACCTCAGCTGGTTCCATAACTTGGCTATTGTGAATTATGTTGCTATAGACTTTGATGTGCCTGTTATCGCTATAGTGTACTTTTGGGTGTATACGAAGGAGTGGGATACCTGGGTCATATGATGGTTCTGTTCTTCATCTTTTGAGGAATCTCAATACTGCTTTCCAAAGTGTTTATACTAATTTGTAGTCCCACCAATAATGAATGAATGTACTTTTCCCCCTACATTCTCACCAAGCAAGTATTGTTGTTTGTATTCTTGATTGTCATTCTAAGTGGAGTGAGCTGAAATCTCAGTGTAGTTTTAATTTGCGTTTCCTTGATTACTAGGGGCGTTGAACAGTTTTTCCCATATTTATTGGCCATTTGTATTTCTTTTGAAAAGTGTCTGTTTAGTTCTTTTGCCCATTTATTTCTTGTTTTTTTTTTCCTGGCAATAAGTTTTTTGAGTTCTTTATATATTCTGGATATCAATCCCATCTCTGAGGAGCAGGTGGCAAAGATTTTCTCCCATTCTGTAGGCTCTCTGTATGCATGCCCTTAATTGTTTCCTATGTATGTTATACAGACCTTTTTTAGTTTGATGTCATCCCACTTATCGATTCTCCATTTGATTTCTTGAGCTTTAGGGGTCTTGTTAAAGAAGTTGGTGCCTATGCCAATATGTTGGAGTGTTGACCCTATGTTTTTTTTCTAGCAGTTCCAAAGTTTCTGATATAATTTCTAGGCCTTTGATGCGCTTGGATTTGACTTTTGTTCAGGGTGAGAGATGGGACCATATGGGATCATTCTTCTACATATAGACATCCAGATTCCCAGCATCATTGGTTAAAAATGCTATCTTTCCTCCAACATATGTTTTTGTTACATTGTTGAGTATTAGATAGCTGTAAGTGTGTGTGTTTGTCTCTGTGTCTTCTATTCTATTCTATCTTCATGCTTGTTTTGATCTAATACCATGCTGCTTTGATACTATAGTTCTGTAGTATAATTTGAGGTCCAGTATTGTGATGCCTCCGGCATCACTCTTCTTGTTCAGGATTGCCTTAGCTATTCTGGGATTCTTATTCTTCCAAAGGAATTTAAGGACTGTTTTTTTTTTTTTTTTCTAGTTCTGTGTGGGTTTTTGTTGTTGTTGTTGTTGTTGTTTTGGTACTGGGGATTGAATCCAGAGACACTTTACCACAGAGTTATATCCCCTACCATTTCTTTCTTTTTTTAATTGATTTTTAAAAAATAAATGAAAGCAGAATGCATTACAATTCTTATTACACATATAGAGCACAATTTTTCATATCTCTGGTTGTATATAAAGTATGTTCACATCAATTCGTGTCTTCATACATGTACTTTGGATAATGATGACCATCACATTTCACCATCCTTGCTAACCCCTGCCCCCTCCCTTCCCCTCCAACCCCTCTGTCCTATCTAGAGTTTGTCTATTCCTCCCATGCCCCCCCTCCCTACCCCACTATGAGTCAGCCTCCTTATATCAGAGAAAACATTTGGCATTTGTTTTTTGGGGATTGGCTAACTTCATTTAGCATTATCTTCTCCAATGCCATCCATTTACCTGCAAATGCCATGCTTTTATTCTCTTTTATTGCTGAGTAATATTCCATTGTGTATATATGCCACATTATTTTTTATCCATTCATCTACTGAAGGGCATCTAGGTTAGTTCCACAGTTTAACTATTGTGAATTGTGCTGCTATAAACATTGCTGTGGCTGTGTCCCTGTATTATGCTATTTTTAAGTCCTTAGAGTATAGACTGAGTAGAGGGATAGCTGGGTCAAATGGTGGTTCCATTCCCAGATTTCCAAGGAATCTCCATACTGCTTTCCATATTGGCTGCACCAATTTGCAGTCCCACTAGCAATGTATGAGTGTACCTTTTCCCCCACATCCTCGCCAACACTTATTGTTGTTTATCTTCATAACAGCTGCCATTCTGACTTGAGTTAGATGATATCTTAGAGTAGTTTTGATTTGCATTTCTCTGATTGCTAGAGATGATGAACATTTTTTCATATATTTGTTGATTGATTGTATTTTTTATGTTGTGACAGAATTTCGACAAGTTGCGCAGGCTGACTTTAAATTTGCAGTCCTCCTTCCTCAGCCTGCCAACTCACTGGGATTGCAGGTGTGTGCTACCACACTCAGCTTGATCATGTTTTCATATGCTTATTGCCTGTTTGTATATATCATTTTCAGGGAAATGTCTATTCAAGTCCTTTACCCATTTTAAATGGGTTATTTAATATTTTTATTATGAGCATATTTTACATGCTAACTTGCCATCTGTATATCTTCTTTGTTCAGATTTTCTATCCATTTCTATTGTTGAGTTTTAAGAACTCTTTATGTAGTCTGGATATCAGTCTTTTATCAGATATGTGATTTGCAATATCACCCAGTCTATAGCTTGGCTTTTCATTCTCTTAATAGTGTAGTGCCTTTCATGACCCAAGTCATACAGATTTTCTTCTTGAAGTTTTACATTTTACATTTAGGTTATAATGTATTTTGAGTTAGTTTTTATAAAATGAGTGACTTGTGTGTCCATTTTTTTTTTTTTTTTGCATACAGATGTTCAGTTGTTCCCAAACCATTGGTTGAAAAGACTTGACTTTCTCTACTCACTTGCTTTTAGACTTTTATCAAAAATAAATTTGTTTTTAGACTTTTTATCCTTTTACTGATAACTTTTTTTTGTTCTGTGATCAAACACAGGGCCTCACACATCCTAAACATGCACCCTCCTGCTGATATATACCCTGAATCCCCTTTACATTTTTTTTTTTGAGATAGTGAATTGCTATGTTGCCCAAGCTGTTCTAGGACTCCTAGGCTCAAGAGATCCTCCTACATTAGCCTCCTGAGTAGCTGGGATAACAGGCATGGGCTACTGCACTTGGTTATTATACACAATGTCTTGATTTGATTATGGTAGATTTACAGTTAAAATTTTTTAAAAATATTTTTTAGTTGTTGATGGACATTTATTTTATTTTATTTATATGTGGTACTGAGAATCAAACCCTTTG